ATGCATGCAAATAGGGCTTCACCTTTCGCGATCTTTATTGATATCCACTGAGAATGCATGTAAATAGGGCTTCACCTTTCGCGATCCTTATTGATATCCAGTGAGAATGCATGTAAATAGGGCTTCACCTTTCGCGATTTTTTTTTTATATCCAGTGAGATTTTGCTTAAGAAATGAAATATAATGTAGCAATAATTAACTTTATTGCATGAAAAATTTATGTTCAAAATTATAGGGTGTTTTTATATCTTTCTGGATATAATATTATAAATCATGACCATCGATGGGTTTGTCACTATTTTCCTTATAATCTAACTTCCTTCTACGTTGATTGAGGGAGAGAGATATTTTATATCATGTTTGATGAGGATGGGTTGATGATGATCAGATTTGGTATATTGTTTTTAGGAGGATGGGGTTGTCTTTGTTAGTGGAGGTTACAAAATTGTGGATATTTCTCTTGGCCTACATTTTTAGTTTTTTTGTTCATGAGACAGGGGGAAAAAAAGGAAATTATTAAGAGATGTATTTCTGTCAGATTTGGCATTGCAGCTTTATACTGGTGAGCCTAATTCCAATTACTCTGCATCATTGTTTAGAAGACGTATGTTCTCTGATTGTATGTTCACCTTTGTTTCCAGAGCATGGCTTTTAAGGAGGAATTGCATTTCGGCAAGAGTTGTCACGCACCTTTACAATGTATTGGATGTTTAATTATCTGAGTCATTGTTTGAAAGTTACTACCTCGAATTTTCATCTTGTCCATTGTTTGGTCTTCCAAAAGATGTTTGAATGTTTAAGCCGAGCAAATTGTAAAGAGTGTGGACCTTCTCGATTCAACCTTACGTCTATTTAAATCCCTGCCTAGCCAACTATAGAACAAGGCTCATTTGATGCAACTTTAGCTATTAATTTCATCTTGAGGTCATGCCTAACAAACTGTATAGAGTGTGGTCATTTGTGATGTACCCGTTGCTAATGTGTAATTCTTTTTGTCTGTGCTTTTCTCGCTATACACCAAGATGGAAACTTTTTTTTGTCCTTATCAAAGGCAACTTTTACAGTTGAATTAGCCATAACTCGTGTACACAAGAAGACGTTTTCTAGTAAATAATGACTGCATCTATCAGCGGTCTAAAGCAAAATCCTCTTATCGAGATGCTTGAATTAACTGACCCAAGATGCGATTTCATCTAATAAACCGGTAAAAAAAAGAAAAGATTTCCATGTAGACTGCCCTACATTTATTGCTAAGGTTGCAGTTCCTTCCACGTGATTATAAAACACGTGCAGTATGCGGTTTAAACGAATGTACTTGAAACTGCTCAGTGCGCTTCGCAGTTGATCTATCTGCCAAAGTAGGTTGGGCCTGTTTTCGCTTGGAAAAACCCACGTCAGCCATATATCAAATTTACATAGACCGTCCTAAGCTGACAAAACAACCTCATAAAAACATCTGGTAACATCGATATTAGACTAATATTTCTCACCCATTAGACCGAAAAATCTAGCCGTTTTGCTAACCTAACTTTTCTTATCTTAATCTAGGCAACTCAGACCAGTCGTCTCAGTCAAGGTGTCCACACGCTCGGAACATTTTTTAAACAATAGAAAACCCTCGTTGACTTCTGCCGTGCGTGACATAGCTGTTCTAAAATCAAACAACCACAAATATAAAACAAAACATAGTAACTTAAGGTGAATCCAAGTTGGAGAAAACACCATACAAAACCATGCACAAACTGTCCTGCATTTTGGTATTATGTTAGTTCGTTCCACACAGCAAGGTCCAATTTATACAATATGCAGGCCCAGCTCTGTACATTTTAAGGTCAGCGTCATTAAATGTACCTAACTAGTTTTAAATACTTCTTGTGAAACAAATTATATACTGTTAGCTACATTTAATGACGTTGATTTAAAAATTGACTGTGCTACAGAGTAAAAAATTCTCAATGCTGTGCGAAATTAACTATGACAGAAAACACTTACTATGCATATAGACTATAGACATATACTTCAAGACTATAATCCTATATACTTCATAGCCTCCCAACTCTCTTAAAAACTAAAGAAAACTTAGTAACAGCCAAAAATGTTTTATGTCAAGCATAGCTTCATTCTAATTTGGTTAAGCATCTCCATTGTGAGCCATTTGAATCAAAAATATACTTTTAATATTTAATGACAAGTAATGCGCCTACCAGAAAGAAGAAATCATTTGTCCCGTCAACACATTAATCCATAAGCAAATTTCACTGTAGCACTTGCCATATTTCCAAGACAGAAAAATACATTTTCAAAGAATCCGTGAACTTGATAGTTTCGCACATGGTTATCCATTAGGGTCCGTATTTTGAGGGTCTTTTATACACATGAGTAATTGACAATCAATATTAAGGACAACACAAGTATGTCACAGTTTCACCTTTCCCAAAGAAAAGGAGTTATATATGATAATGCCACATATCTCTAATTACCCATAAATAATCTAATGCAAGATGTTACTCTTCGTTACAGTTTGTACTAAGCATAATTACAGTGGAGCTGAGTACCGTTATTTGCAATACAACTTTTCAGAATTGGAACTGATAAAAATGAAACTGTTTCTTGTAATAAGTATTATTTATTGTTAATTTCATATAACATCCATATATTTAGTGTGATAATGCCTCATTACTATGCGACGTTTTATGTCGTTATTTTTCTTTGGTCACGCATATAAATTGTGTACATCGGATGCAACGGTGACGCCACAGACCTCATTAACATATTTGTATTAATAAGCCGCATTATGCATTTGGACGTGAACTATATTACACTAGTGAAGAGTTCTTTTTACTTTAAAGGAAAATATTGGGTAAGAAACATAATCTGTGTTGGGTTTGGGGATACATGATGTAAGCCCTCGACTGGGATTTCCTTGTCTCGATCCAAACCCAACATAGATTCTATATAGGTCTTAGCTACCTTATGCACTCGCATATAAGCACCAAAGAACATGTACAATGGCAGCATAAAGGAACGAAGGTAATGTGTTTCATTTTACAGCTTGTGTCAGATGAGTGATCCTTACAAAAATCAAAATGAATGCATAGCATAGGCTGAACAGATTATACTTTGTTGATGCGGAACGTCATGAAGTTGAATTTAATCGTGTTATCTCAGAAAAGTTCAATTTGGATCAAAGTAAACTAATATTCAAAATAATTTTTACCTTTCAATTAAAAATTGCATTTTTGGGGTTAGGGTTGTCCATAAGAAAGAAACTAGACATAGTTTGCACATGTTTTTTGTATGGTGTGTTCTCCAACTTGGATTGACCTTAAGTTACTATGTTTTTGCATGGTGTGTTCTCCAACTTGGATTGACCTTAAGTTACTATGTTTTTGTATGGTGTGTTCTCCAACTTGGATTGACCTTAAGTTACTATGTTTTGTTATATATTAAGGTTTTGAAATAAACTAATATTATATTCCAAACATACTAATGTGCGACATCTAAGGTAATATATTGATCATTATATTATTTTTCTTCGTTGATGATTAAAGAAATTGTACCAGTGTGATTTCTCTTTTTTTTTTCTTTTTTTTTTGTTGTTTATTTCTGCATTGATTTTTACGTATTGCATTGTGTATTTCCAACAGCGTTGCAAGTATTACTTTTTTTTTTACAGTCGTTCAAATGTTTTTCAGGACAAATTGAAAATATATACACATGGTCAATGCTCATCTTTATACTGCCTTGCAGTAAATAATGAATAAGTGCTGTATGTATAAATTTAGCGAGTTACGTTTTTCAGTTTCACCAAAACTTACGAAAATCACACGGTGTACATCTTGGACACTTAACCGGTATTTCTCACAGAAGTTTGACGCGAGCTTAATGTTAAAAAAAAGCAATAACCTAAAGAAAAAAAAAATAATACCGATGGATAAAATTACATCAGATTACCCCCATAATCAGTTCTGACAGGCATATTGGGTTGAACAGGTATATACAATCTGATTTAAATCCACTGTCCGACGTAAAGTTTTCGAAGCGACCACTTACGGTTAGTGTTATGGCGACAAAGTAGCCAATGGATTTTCAACTTTCAGAAATCTGAGAGTAGATCACATCGTACGGCACACAAAAATAATGCTCTTTGGGTATACTGCTAACTCCTGAACGCGAAGATACAAGATTTCATCTGATTGATAAAATTGTCGATTATGATAATAACATTGGTCATCAGAACTTTACTCCTAAACGGTCGCTGTCAAATCTTCACCCTGTTTTAATGATTGGAGTGGACAGTCACGCTAGCCACAAATATTGTAAATAAATGGTACTGACTAAAGCAAATAAGTTGCTAGTTCACACATTCTGTTAAGCCATACAGACAGGTCACGAGAGCGAAAGTTAGGACAAATTAACCACGGTATGCACACGTGTTGTACACAATAGTATAAAAGCTTGAGTGCCCAAAAAGTGCAACCAGAGATGCCTGAAAGGTATTAATTACATCAATCTCCCCGATATAAACATTAAAAAATTGTCATATATAGCCTTAGGCTTTGCGCGATGGAAGCTCGTCATTGAAAACTTTGACTTTGGGGACTTATTAAATTCATGTAGTATTGGTCGGGGTGGGGTGGACGAATCTCGCTGTTGGAAACCTAGAGATGTTCTGATGTATGGGCGAAAAGACACCCAAAAAATTCCATCTCGACATTTTATTCAAAACTTATTGTGTTGGTGCATACAATAGCCAATGTCACCAAAGGTACAATACCAACTGTATGCAGACAAATGATACCCGTCAATGCCTTTGACGAGTCCGAATGCAACGTATTTGATGTTGAATTAATGATGTGATATGATTATGATTTTGAACGTAGCTTTAACAATTTGACAAAAGCAGGCTAACTTCATTACGGTGATAACGAGCATAAAACTTAGAAAACGTCGGTATTCTAATTATTGAAAATGAACATTTCCAGTAACCGAACTGCTCAGGTGGACTAGTGGTTAGATCGTCTGTCTCGGATACGGGAGGTCGTAGGTTCGATCCTGGATCGAGTCATACCAAAGACTTACAAAATTTATACTAACAGCTGCCTTGCTTGACGCTAGTCGGCCTGGTGTCAGGAAAATGTGACTGGGTGGGGAAATCATGTTTCATGTCTACAGCATGATGCCCCAGTGCTAGACATCACTATAAACTGCCACACTGCAGACATCGTAGCGATATCACTAAACAATTGTTAAAGCTACGTTACAAATCATAACGCAAATGTGATGAAAGTGTTAAAGACCCCCCCCCCCCCGTTTAATTGAATGTACCGTGGATTAAAGTATACATCTATCCATACGTATCTGCCTGTATGGATAAACAATTGTAGTTTGTTTTTCAAATGTACCGTCATATTACGCTGGATTTTCAAACTGTACAGTCCTTTCTTCGTAAAGGTTGAGAGGGAAATAAGTATTTATCTGCACGAGAACTAAACACTGCTAATGGTCTGAGTAAGGTCGTATAATATTTATCCTTATATTCTTGCCTGATGCAAAAAATAGGCATTCATTTGTCATCCTTTTTTAGTACACAATATTCAGACAGTCGGTCATTCATTGACTTTTCAATTTGCATGCGGTATAGTATCTCCACCAGTGTACACAGAGCATGCATTCGCAGTGAGGGTCTGATTGGTCGACCTTATTAAGTACGTATTTGATTGGTTGTTACTTTTAGGTTCACGTGAACAATCTCGTAGTCAACATCTGTAACCTTGACTAAACTGTCATTTTTACGGGAGGATTGGAGTATTCGTTCAACAGTTGCTGAGTTGTACGTAGAGGAAGATATACACTCTGAAATTAGTTTGGTACCTATTATTTTTCTCGAGTTACAAATGAAAGGTATGTTGAAATTTTGCACCGTTTATATTTTGCCTACAAGTATATAGATCTACGTATGAAAACAATATCTAGTTATGAATGGGTAGGTGCAAGTGTACCTACTCGGTGCTCACATTCAGTACGCGAGCTATTTCGTTTGCATTTAGCAAGTTTAGAAAGAGCTATTTGCAATGCTTTTTCATTAGTCCTTAGATCCAGGTAATAATTTCATTTTGCCGATGTCTTTGGTATGTACACATCAAATGACTTTCAAAATATGGCCATACCCAATTGTTCTCAAAATGTAATTGAGATCTTGAAAATCGATACCATAGTTCAGTGTAACTAATTGTTTAATCTGTTGTCTGAAATTGTCCACAGGGGCTTACATCGTTGCTTACGATTTACCCGTCATACATGTAATATATAATAACCACTATTATAAAGTTATGTAGATAGACTTGGTGAGTGTAATGGTGAAAATAAAGGTTAATTCACCGGATTAGATTAATGCTATGGTCGGCTGAGAATCGTGCATTGTTACGTTACTGTGTTCTGAATGGATGATATGTGTAGCTTTTCGGTCTTTTGGAGATTTTGAAGTGATAAAAAGGTTTGACAAAAATCGAATCGAGCGGAGGCTGGGGTCACACTAGACCAACCAGTAGGTCTCCGTTTTTTGTTGTTTTTTTTTTTTTTTTTTTTTCTGACAGAATATTGATAAAACTTCAGACTCGTGGTGTGACATTCGACCCGGATTGTACTGGATCATTCCTTTAGGTTCATCTCATCCAAAAATGTCCGTGTACTTTAACATTGATTTTGCCATATGCATCTCTTTGGGCCTCTAAATAATGACCATCCAAAGGAATATGGATGTATACAAATCCTCAAAGAAGCAAATACTTTGCTCTTAAAAGTATTTTGACTCAAATTCAGAAAATTGACACCCATTACTAAAATAATTGTTGTTGATTGCCTACATGTGACTTGCACTCTAGGTGGGAAAGCTTTGTGTTTCTGGTTAAACTCTGGCCTCTACTCTCTGGTCCAGTACCAGTTCCATCCATGGCTCTATGAATTGGTTGCATGGGGCTAATTACTTGGTTCTTAACCTGCAGAATAAGCTTCTGATAATTGGTTTTGTGATGAAGAAATTATGTTTTTGTTTTTCATTCTCATTCAGAAATAATCTTTGTATGTCAATTTATGTGACATGTATAGAAAATCCTATTTGTTTCGTGAATATTGAAATCTTGTTTTACAATTGTATATAAACCACCTCCTTGACTGGAAATGTAATGTTGCTGGAGTTGCTCAAAAAATTGTCAGTTCTAACATGATAAAAAGGGGTCACTATGCATGCACGAGGGAGATATTTATCAAGACCAACATGGAGATGTAATTCAAAAAATTGTCAGTTCTAACATGATAAAAAGGGGTCACTATGCATGCATGAGGGAGATATTTATCAAGACCAACATGGAGATGTACTTCCCCATGTAATTCAAAAAATTGTCAGTTCTAACATGATAAAAAGGGGTCACTATGCATGCATGAGGGAGATATTTATCAAGATCAACATGGAGATGTACTTCCCCATGTAATTCGGGTTCCAATTTGCAGATTTTCAAGTTGATATAGGGAATAGGACTGCATATTTTTGTATGTCTTGTTTTACTTTAAAATTTGAAATCACAAGTTCAAAATTTGAGTTTTTAATTGTAATATGGTCAGCATGGAAGTAGATATTCAACAAGTCTTCCAGATTCACGCTTTGCTTTTCATGGTCGGCACTGAAATTAATACAAGTCAAAAATAATAAATCATAAGTAGATCATGTCTTGATATCATCTTGAATGTGTTCATACTTGAATGAAAATACATGTACAGTTCATAATGCAAGAATAAGGAAAAACCTGCTAACATCTTTATAGAGGGTAGACTGTTTAATTCATTGCCTTGATTGGTCTTACTGGTGCATTTTTAGATATCTTTGACAATGTCATGCTATTTCCATATCACTGGAAGCTATCAAGGCATTATATGAATTACTTTCAAACTTCATTGGTTTCTTTTAAAGTTCACTTTAATCAAGTGTCTTTAACATCAGATTTTATGCATACCAGTGAACTGTCTCTGCCCTTATCCTAAGAACTCTATTCCAAAAGACTGAGGGTTCAGGATTCAGTGTTGCATTTTATCAGAATTTTGTGTCATTTCATGCAAGTTGTATTGTACTCTTGTCTGGTTATCTCTTTAAAATTACAATTTTGACATCTGGTAAGATGGACCACTGATCAGGTTGTGGACTTTCACAGGGTTGGGGGATGGGCAATACCCATGTATTAGAGCCTTGATCAGTTAATAATATTGGAAAACAGACGATGAAGTGGAAGACTTGTAAATAGTCATTTAATCCTTGATATATCTATCACTGTAAAAAGAATGGTTGAACTGCTCCATGTATAAAGCAAAACATTTTCATTGGACTTAAATGTAAGGTTTATTTATTGGATAAATGCATACTGATCTTAAATTGTTCTTTGCAGATTTGCCAATGTTACAGATAGTACCCAAAGCTGAATGCACATGGAACAAGATGCCAGTTGACTTTGCAGCATATTTGTTGTCCTCGAGTCCACCTGCTTCCAGTTACGAGTTGCTGACTTATGCTTTGAAAATTGAATCTGCACAATTTACTCCAAATCGAAATGGATTTTTACAACACAGCCGTCTGGCACAGGCTAGAAATAGTCCTGCCAAGTCGATCATCATTCACAGCACTCCCAAAAATTCTAACCATGAATTTGATGCAACATTTTCTACCAACTCGTCATGTACATCTGGAAGCCCTTCTCCTACAAGCCCATCATCTCCAGGGAAAGCTCGTAAGAAAGTTTCATTTGCGGATCATAAAGGATTTGCACTTGCAACTGTGCGTATTATGTCGGAACCTTCAGATGTTCCACCAAGGTTAGGTCCAGAGGTTTTCGCATCTCTGACACTAGGAGCAACAGCGGTGGTTACTGATCAGCCCCCATTGGAACTTAACTTTTCACAACCTGCCTCGGACTATCTTGCATTCCGTGATAAACTTGAGAAGAGCAGCGTTTCATTGGAAAATGTAATTTTGCGAGACTATAGTGTAATAGGCACAGTAAAAGTAAAGAATGTTAGTTTTCAGAAAAGAGTATTTGTGAGATACACATTTGACTCATGGGAAACCATGAACGATGTTGATGCATGTTTTGTTGCAAGTCCATGTGATGGACTTGCAAGTCCATATGACACATTTTCTTTTGAATTCACAGTGCCCACAAATTTAGATAAAGACAAGAAGAGTGAATTTGCTATTGGCTTTGAGACCCCTAATGGACAGCACTGGGACAACAACAATGGTAAAAATTATGGAATACGATGCTCAAGTTTCAAACAACCGCCTCGGCAGGAGTATCCAGTATGCAAACAACAGGACTATCATGAAATCAGAAATTGGACAGAGTATGCCTCATGGAACCATGTTGATTCATCCACTCCATATTGGTGAAAGCCAACATTAAACAAGGAGCAAATATACATCAGGTTATGTTGGAGTACTCAAACATGGTATCTTGTGCTAGAAGCATAATGTAAAACCAGTCTGAATGTTGATTTCTAACAAGTCAAACCAAGCAGCAAAATGCCAAGAAGTTGGGAGTCTGATGGTTTACAATTTCATCTGACAAGGATTGAAATGCGAATGGCATATATAGAATGCCTGGCATATTTGCAAATTATAAATATATCAGTATTAACAGTTCTGAATTGGAACATATTCACAGTATTTGTTTGAAGATCACACCATACAGTACTGAATTTTCATTTAATACATTTATGTATGCATGTTATAGTAGATTTTAAAAAAACTTAGTTGTTAGACTTGCACCATATAAAGTCAAAGGGAGATAATCTAATGTTTAGACATGCATCATGTGTTTTTTATGGTCCTTGCCATTATTACATACCAAAAGATCTTCTGTGATGTAAATTACTTGGCAAGTTGGTAAATGAAACTGAAAGACTTTAATATTAATTGAAATGTAAGTTTCACAAGCACGGAAAGCTGTGTGAGTGCTTTCTCAAGACTTTGTATAACCTACATGTAACTGTTAAGAACACAAGCAAGTTGTCTGTTATAGGAAACGAAGTGCATA